GAGTCTAACACAGAATTACCGAGTCAAGAAATACACCGTCAGCAAAACACAGAGTCTAACACAGAATTACCGAGTCAAGAAATACACTGTCAGCAAAACACAGAATCTAACACCGAATTACCAAGTCAAGAAATACATCGACAAAACACGGAGTCTAGCACAGAATTACCAAGTCAAGAAACACCAGGTCAACGGAACACGGAACCTAACACAGAATTACAAAGTCAGGAGACACAACTTAACAAACAGTTGCAAACTCAAGTCCAAGAAATACACCGCCAACGTTCTACAAGGGAGTTTCTAGCACAAAGCCAAGAAATACAACGACAGCAAAACTCAGAACCTGACAGACAGACAAATTCGAAGCCAAGAATGTCGAGCACAAGTTTCAATTAATCGCGTTAGTCAACAGGAACAACTGCCACCTCAGGAGAACTTTAACATAGATCAACCGAAGGCAAAAGGAACTGTTATATTTTATATAACCAACTGAGTTTATATATCTAAGTAAAACAATAGGTCTTTACCTTATGACAGCCTGACTTCGACTAACTCTCTATTTATTCAATATGTATTACAACTAATAATTACAGAGTTGTAATTATACTACTTAATTATACAACATCTTCCTTTTTATAACTTAGACTAATAATCTTAACATAGGTCCATGGACTTACTTAGAAATTATTAACTTAAATTATACAATCCAAAATCTTACATTCTAAATTTTTAAAATGATATTATTATTAAAATATAAATGTATATTCTTAGTATATAGGAAATTTTAAACTATTTGCAAAATATAAATTACAATAAATTTTATGTGGTTTTATAAGTTAACCTTTCAGGAGGAATTATTTTTCTTCCACTTTTTGATCTCTGAATATTTTCATTTGTTTTGAGATCACCTAAATCGTTATTTTGTTTTACAACTTCTTCAGTCTCTGTTTCTATGACTTGTTCTTTTTCTTTTGTACAAATTTCTTGAGATGTTTCACTTATTTCAATATTTGGTATTTTTAAAATATGTTGCCTATTTCTTCTATACTCTACTCCACTTAAATCTTCAACTAAAATGATCTAGGCTGTTTACAACTTTCTACTATTCTTTCTGGAATCCATACTGACCTAGGATTTTTTTTAAAATATACTTTTTCTCCTATCTCTATAGGCTTTAGAGTTTTTGAGGCTCTAATATTATTTTGTGACGAATTTTGATTTGTTTTTGAATAAATATTATTTTCTTTTACTTTGTTGGGCAATTTAGACTTTAAATTATTAGACAATGATGGTAATTTCGTTCTGAGTTTTCTAGCCATTAAAAGTTCAGCTGGACTAGCAAAATTACTTTTAGGGGACGCACGATACTGAAGCAAAGTTGTATAGTAATCCGCTCCCGTTTCTAGACATTTATTAGGTAACTTTTTAATAGTTTGTACTGATCTTTCAGCAAGACCATTTGACCTTGGTAAATATGGACTCGACGTGATATGATCAATACCCCAGTCAACACAAAAATTTTTGAAATCGAGAGAATTAAATGGCGGGCCATTGTCTGATATTAAATACATTGGTATTCCATGACGTGAAAATATGCTCTTCAATTTTGTTACAACTGCTAAATTTGAAGAACCCGAGTTTAACTATTCAATCTCAATATATGTGGAAAAATAATCTACTACTAGTAAGTAAGTTCTTTTGTTAAATTCGAAAAGGTCTACACCTACTTCGAACTAAGGAATTGAAATTACTTCGTGACTTAGCAATTCTTCTTTGGGATTAGAGTTCCTGAATTTTATACAAATTTCGCAACTAGATACTAAATTATAAATATCATTATTAATATTTGGCCAAAAAATTGATTCTCTTGCCAAACTTTGACATCTTTGAATCCCTAAGTGACCTTCATGTAATCGAGATAACATTTTTGTTCTATAATTTTTTGGAATAATTACTCTATTATTTTTTAGTAATAGTCCTTCAATTTCATGAATACTATCTTTGATACTAAAATACGGGCTAATATCTAAGTCACACAATTTCTTTGATGCGGGCCAGCCTTCTTTTAAACATTTTAAAAGTTTTTGATATGTCTCATCGTTTTTTACGAACTGTTTTAAAACTTCAATATCATCTCTCGGTAAAGCAATTTGAGAAGCTATTGAATGACAATGAAGGTCTATATCTTTATCAATATCTGTAAATGATTCAGACTTTAAAGGTGCGCGAGATAATGCATCAGCGACATATAAATGTTTTCCTGGTTTATTAATTACTGTTAAATCATATGCTAGTAATCTAAGCATAAATCTTTGCAGTCTTGAAGGTATTTGATGTAGAGGTTTATTAAAGAGAGATACTAATGGTTTATGGTCGGTTTCTACAATAATATTGTGACCGTACACATATTGATGAAATCGAGTGCAACCAAAAAGAATAGCAAATAATTCCTTTTCTATTTGCGCATAATTTATCTAGCACTCCGTTAAAGACGTAGATGCATAAGCAATTGAATTTCTTTCATGCATAATTACAGCCCCCATAGCTACCTTTGATGCGTCTGCTGACAGTAACATCAAAATATGTTAAAACTGGAGCTTTTGTGATTTCTTTTTTTAAATTATTAAATGCTTCCTCTTGAGCTTTACCCCAGTCCCAAATAACATCTTTTTTTAATAAATTTCTAAGATGAAAGTTTTTTGTTGACAAATTCTGAATAAATGAACCTAAATAATTAATCATACCTAGAAAACGTTGGAGATCTTCGCTATTAGCGGGTGTAGGAAATTCCGTAATTGCTCTTATTTTATCAGTGTCTGGTTTAATACCATCTTCATTGAAAATATGTCCAATGAATTTTATATTAGTTTGAAAAAGTTTTGATTTACTTTTGTTGAAACGATGACCTATTTCTGTTGCTCTCTTCAAGACCTTATACAAAATATCATTATGCTCTTTTATTGATTTCGCATAAATAAGGAAATCATCTAAATAAATTATAACTAATTTAATATCACCAAAAAGACGAACCATTTCTCCATGGAATATTTCTGGTGCTGCGTTGATACCAAATGGTAGACGTAAAAATCTAAATCGGCCAAAAGGAGTGTTGAAAGTACACAACTTTGAAGAATTTTCATCCAAGGGCACCATCCAGAATCCTGAACTTGCGTCCAGAGAACTGAAAACTTTTGAACCAGCCATCTGCGACCTACACTCATCTAAATTAGGAAATGAAAATCTTGGCCTCACAATAGCTTTATTTAAATTACGAGGATCTAAGCATAAACGGATATTGCCATTTTGCTTAGTAACTATCACTATTGAACTGACCCACTCAGTTGGTTCAGTAACTTCAGTTATAACTTCTAATTCCTTCATTCTTTGTAACTCTTTTTTAAGTGGTTCAAGTAGACTAAAGGGCACTCTACGTTGTACATCAACAACTGGTGTACTATTGTCTCTGATTTCCAATTTACACTTATTTTTGAGCTGACCAAGACCATTGAACACGTCTGAATATTTACCAAAAATGTCTAATTCGTTACAATTGTTTATTTCTACTTTATTATTACAACTTACTGCGTTTACTATTTTAATTAGATTTAACTCAACTGCTAAGTCCAGACCCAGAACATTATTACACTGCATATTGACCACATGAAAAATAGCCTTTTGTCTAATATTGTTAAATAACAAATCCACATGAACTTTTCCTATAATAGGTAATTTTTCACCACTAAAAGTTCTAATATTATTAAAATTTTTTTCTAATTTAATATTATTAATTGTATTAAAAGTATATACCGACAATATAAGTTTGTTTCCGCTCCAGAATCTACCTGGCAGTTCACTTTTACGCCTTCTATATTGACATCAACATTCCATGATTTATTTTGTGTAAAAAACTTGTTTAAGTTTTTGCTTATTGTTCCAACAAATAAATCGTCATCAAATAATTTTGTTTCTTCAGACACGTTTTTTATATATCGGCTTTTACGGTACTGTTGTTGTTGCTGCTGCTGCTGCTGCTGTACTGATGAACGACTAAAGCACATTTTTGCATAGTGATTTGGCTTTTTACATATATGACAAATCACTCCATCGGCCGGACATTTGAATTTATGTAATTGGCCACACTTTTTACACTCTTTTTTACTATGTTTTTGTTGTACCGAAACGGGTCTTGCAATCCGTTGTTTTTTTAGCCCAGCAACCACGTTTTCATTTACTGTTTTCAGTATTGTTGTTGCATTTTGTCGTGCAATTTCAATATTTTTTGCTATTTCCAACGCTTTACCCCATTTAATATCACCTTCACTCAAAAGACGTTCTTTGATATGTTTAAAGTTGAGGGATAAGCCACAAATAAATATATCTCTAACCAAATCTTCACGCAGATCTTTAAACTCACATGTAGTGCTCAAGTTTTGTAGCGCTGTTGCGTATTCGCTTATAGTTTCTTCTGAGTTCTGTTGACGCGTAAAGAATTTGTACCGTTCCATAGCCACGTTAGCTTTTGGAATAAAGTATTCACAGAACTTTTTTAACACATTTTCTAATTTTACTTCTTCTATATCCATGTTAAATGAATTAAAAATTTCAAAACAATCTGCCCCCAAGTGGTGCAGTAAAAGTGCAACTTTGCGACGTTCTTGTTGTTCTTCTAAATTCGTTGCAAGCATAAAAATATAGAACTGCTTGCTCCAACTTTTCCATTCTTGAGCCAGATTAGTTGACCTTATATTTAACGGCGGTAGCGTTGTAGCAAAAATTTGACTATTTCCACTCATTTTATTATGTTTAATTTCTTTTTCTATTTCTTTTTCATCACCTGACCCCATGTTATATTTTATATAACCAACTGTGTTTATATATCTAAGTAAAACAATAGGTCTTTACCTTATGACAGCCTGACTTCGACTGACTCTCTATTTATTCAATATGTATTACAACTAATAATTACAGAGTTGTAATTATACTACTTAATTATACAACAGGAACCAAGTCACCAACGCTAGTAAGACAATGTTTCGTCGAGACTGAGATTCCAAATAGTAGTCACAATCGCCAGCAACAATTAAGACGTTTAGGTATACTTAAACAAAAAGATGACAATCATAACATCATAGTCCAAGACAAGTTCTTTAAAATTTTCAAAAATCCAAGGAAACGAACACGGAATTATTCTACGAAGTAATCAGAGTCCTTCAATTCGATGGGAAAACCGGGGAAGTGTAACATAAAATTTACACTCATAAATTTTACTACACAATAATACAAAACAAAATATATAAAATAAAAAAAAAAAACAACACACATCAAAAACAATAGAAAAACTTGTAAACAACGCACCGTTGCAATTACAAGAACAAATATACTGTTTGCTTCGCACATCGCAGGTATAAAAGGCGAAGCAAAAGCAGTAGACGGAGATTCAGCAAGACATCGAGCTGCGAACAGGTTGTTCCATAGTACACATGCTGAAAGCACCACAAATCGAAATTAACATCTCATTTCTTTTTTTTTATTATTTTATAGAAAACAATTTCTATTAAAATATTATCAAACGAAATTAACATTTCTTATACTAGAATATAATTTTATACTCATTTACCCATAACGAAACCATATTTTCGTTAATAAATTACTCGGTAAGGTGATAATAACACATGAATATTATCATCCACACCAAACCCATTGTTTAAAGAAGAAATTGACATTTCTTCAAACCTTTTTCAGGGGCGTCGAAGGTAACATTTCTACGCCAAATACATTGTTTTAAAGAAGAAATTGACATTTCTTCAAACCTTTTTCAGGTGCGTCGAAAGTAACATTTTTACGCCAAACACATTGTTTTAAAGAAGAAATTCACATTTCTTCAAACCTTTTTTCTTCAGGGGCGTCGAAAGGAACATTTCTACGCCAAATACATTGTTTTAAAGAAGAAATTCACATTTCTTCAAAACTTTTTCTTCAGGGGCGTCGAAATTAACATTTCTACGCCAAATCCAGTATACAAAGAAGAAATTCACATTTCTTCAAACCTGTTGTCAGAGGCGTTGGAATTAGCTTTTCTACCAACTAACTTCACAGAGGAAGGTAACCACATCACCGCACCAACGTCACCATCCACCGTGTATTCACACGTTCCACTGTTCCTAACAAATAAATTTATTGTAGGACTGGACCTGGAATCCGGCGAGCAAAACCCCGGCCAGAAAGGCTCGTTACAATTGGGCAGCAGGAAATGTGATGCGATGCCATATTTTTTTAGCATTCCGTTCATCCTTTAGTTTTTTTGTGATCTCCCCAGTATACATTACTAGATTCTTCCTATAGACTTTTGGAGGAGCAGTCGCTTTCCATGCTGCTTCCTGAATAGATCTGGTTAGGTATTCAGTCGCTTCAA